AGTGTTAAAGCTTCCATTACCAAAACACCCAACAACGTTCACTCATTCTGGAATACATACTCGTTGAAATAAAAGACATCAGTTTGGTAAAAAAAAAATAAATTGCAAATAAGAGTAAACCAATAACAACCACATCTGAGTTTTAAAAACAATAATATTACCAATCGTTATACAATAATTATGTAGGATATAAATATATTTAGTTTTCAATATTGAATATAATAGAATTCAGTTTGCAATATTGTAGAAATGAACTTAAATATTGTGCAACAATTTAGGCAGGTATATTAAAATATTACCAGAACATAAGTTCCAATATAAATATAATTTTACATAAACCACTGAGAAAGTCTGCCTTCATTACATACATAAAATTGAGCTTCTAAATATATAAAATTAGATCACTGAAAATATTCTCTGTTATAATTGTATTTTTTTCTTTTTTAATTTCAATTTTGTTCCATTTTTTATTTCACTATATTGAGAAGCTTATTCGAAAGTAATGCATCTTCCAAGAACAATTTCCCAGAAAAGGGAATTCAAACTCTGCGCTTACAGTTTTCAAGATGGATTTAAGTTTTCATCACCATTTTCTAAACTAGAAGAAAACACAATTTTTAACACAAGATTTTGTGGCATGGATTGAAAAGATCTCAAGAAATATGATGCAAAAAACTAGAAAACATAAATGATACTCATCATTTTAAATATGTACTTAATTCGAATCAATGATACCAACAATTTTGATCCCAACATTCTAATAGGATTTTAAGAACAGAATGATTTAATGCCATTGTTTACTACAAAAAAATCTTTGTCCATAGTGACATGAAGATCATTTTGCAGTTTTCTAACTGAGAATTCTTACAGAATGTACAGTGGTCTTTTTCCAAAAATAATTTCTCATATCCATACCAAATTTCCAGCACTGAATATTTGGAATGAATGGTTTTATTGGATATTGAAGATTCTTCTGTACAGTAAATAATATTTTCAAATTTAACTAAAAAAACACTCCAATTTTTTCTTTGAGTGTTGGCAGTTGTTGCAAATAGAAGCACATGGTCTTTAATAACCTAACAAAAGGGACTCATTTTTCTAAAAAACCCTTTTAAAGGAATTTTTTTTTTTAAAACCCCCCCTTAAAAAGGGATTTAATTTTTCAAAAATTTAGAAAAGCACAAATCTCATTAAATTATGTGATTCAACAGCATACTGATAACTACCAAAATAGGGGCTTAACAAAGTTTTAGGAAAGTTCCTCAAAAATCTAAATATTTTGCACCAACCCGACGTGCGGTACTTTTCCAAAAGTTCTTTAATACACATGTCTCAAAAACAGATCCAATATTCTTTTTTAATGTTTTCATATAACCACAATCCTTTTTTACACGTCTGTTGCCTTTGACTTAATTTCTGAACTGTATCTAATCATCTAAATTTGCAACATTTTTCCAAATCAGCCCCAGCTCCGTTTAATTCAGATAATTTAAATTTTTAACTAAATTTTTTACTGCACATTAACTGATAAAAAGAAATGACAATTGAAATGACTATAAGCAAACATTAGAAAATGATAATTGTTAAATCTAATAAAAATATAACCTATATAAGAAGTTTCTTACATAGATAACAATGGGTACCTACAATAGATAACATTAATATTTACAATAAATAATTAAAAAGGTTTTATAATTTTAAACTTATCGAAAGTTTTTGAATCCACTCCAGTCTTTAATAATCAAAGTCTGCAGAAGCTTCAAGAGCAGCATGCAACAAGTATAAAAAGATGTTTCCAGCACATGATCCACATGCATATTTCTTGCCACTACATGCAGATGTTCCTTCCTCTTGTTCGTGCCTTTACAAACCTCCTATTCTGACAGGTCTTGCGAAAATCAGTTTTCTCTAAAAGGCAGATTGTCAGGAAAGAATGTTGCTTTCTTTTTGTTCAATTCTTAAAGCAATTCTTCCATAATTTGAAACATAATTTTGGCAAGATATTTTCTCACCTGTTACCTCCCGGTAACATACATGCATAATAGCCCCGCAACATCCAGAACATGAAAAAAAAAATATGTTGCCCACCATCCTATACCCAATTTTCACAATCTATACAAGTGCCGCGATTGATCAAGTATGTCAACGAAACATAATCCTCTCATTACCAAAACTTGTACAAGTTTGGACAGTTTCTTGGCTGTTTTTGATCCAATCGTAAGCTCAATGCAATCAACTAAGAATCAAGCGTTTTTAACTTACTTTCCCCGATAGGCTGGATAGATATTAGATAAAAAGACTAACACCCAAATAAAATTGTAGGTCTGCCTTCCTTTTTAGAACGTATTTGTAAATATCATAGTTAAATTTAAGTAATGCTATAATCTGTCCAATGTGTAGAATATGAATAAATATGAAAGCCACAGAGCACTGAATTTACCAGAATGCACATACATTTGTTGAGAATTGTGGATAAAAGTATGATCAAAATGACAGTGGATCCTCCTAGTGTTAAGCAAATTAGATTCAGTCTTTTATATTAAATAACCGATCATAAAAAAAAACTTTTGCATTTACAGAATAACATGTGTATTGAGAAATTACTAAGTAGCTGAAAAGCATTATGTACTTATTCGCAATGGTGAATAAAAACATACCAAAGAGAGTAATATAAAAAAAAAAATTTGAAAAACATAAAAAGAGTAGACAAACCTTCCTCTCATTCCCCAAAGATTTAGATTAAAAAATTAAAAATTGAATTTAATTCTTATATTGATTTTTACACCTTTTCCTTCATCCAATTGCTTGTTGCTTTCTCTTTCAAAAGAGCTAGCCATAGCGATGTAAACATGCACAACACTTTTAGAATGCCCACCTCTCGTATACTCTTTAAAAAATGTATTGTGTCTACAAACAAAATAATTAAAATGCATTTAAATTTCAATTCAGCAAAGAATGTACAAAGTAGCTTTATATAATGGGAAGTTAAAATATTAAATACCGTAATATATTTAGAAGAGTCTGCAGGCCAAATTAATACCACAGCTGACTGATGTTTGACTCTTCAGCAAAATAGAAAGGGAGAATCAATTCTTTTGCCAAGGACAAAGTTCCAATTGGAACACAATTGAAAACTCCAAAAGCTGGAAAAATTTTTCCCTAAAAAAACAAAACAAAAATACACAATTAGAAATTACAAAAACATTTTTATGAAAATACAAATGTACGAAATACAAAACGTATATCAGAATATATACTAGTGGTGCTACAGAAAAAAGGCACACTTTCTCGAACTAGTCGGTTTCTAATTGTCTTTGGTTGGGCTTCTTTACTTTAAGAATATTATAGAAGAGTAAAACCTTCATCCTATTGGAAATTGTTCATTGAAAAATTTGGAGACCTGATTTAAAAAAAGTTCTTTTACAGGTTACTGTAAAATAGCGTCTTCTGAAACTATTTTCACAGAAAACTTCTGAGTTTTTGAGAAACTTCACTGGAAGTCATTGATGCATTCCAGCCTTTCCTAATGCAAAATTGCATACATATCTCGTGGACAATTGCATTATTAATAGTGTGAGAGAGATTTTAAAAAAAAATATACTGGAGTATGAAAAAAAAAAAAAAAAACAGAATACAGCAAAATGGATTTTATGTCATTTTATTATATATGTGTGAGAAAAAGAAAAAAGAAAAGAAAAGAAAAGAAGGGACCTCAAGTCCCAAGACATGCATTTCCAATGAAATCTCAAAAACAATATTTCTGCAGTATTACAATATTTTCTCTACATTACTTATTTTACTCTGCAAGAGGAATTACTGAATACCATTAAATACAGAATTTAAAATATTTCTATATCAATGCATTAATAACATCAATATGATGCATAAAATCAAAATATAGATCGATGTTCCTTCTTTCCAAACTCTGTAAGGAGCGTTGAGCTTTTGAGTACCTCCATTAATAAGTGCCCTCTAGGGGACGCTGTATTGTCAAGTCACGTAAGTCATAGTCAAGTCAGGGAATTGCTGACAGGTAGAGTCTCACACGTGTCCTGCGTCGGCCAGAATTGGAAAGGAATAAGGATAGGGGTAAGGTTCAGGACACTTAAGAGGGGTTGGACTAGCCCCTGTGAAGCACGAAACTCAATTTGTCGTAACAAATTTCACATCATTAATCATCTATCTACACAAGAACATTAAAGAGAGAAGTAATAGATTTGAAACACAATTTTGAGGGAGTGGAGGAGTTAATTGTCAAATTTGCCAGTTAACATCCTGAAATCTGGCAAGTGTCTAGTTAAGAAAGTCCAGACAAGTTCAGAAGTTAAATATTAATTGGTTAGAAGTGCAGGTGGCTAAGATATATTCTACTTTATTGTCGAATACAAGGACTCTCACAAATAGGTTGCCCTAAAAATGGAAATAACTGCCCACAATTACATTATTTTCTGATTAGCCTCACAAAAGACCTCTAGAAGAGCCCGTATGACTCAAAAGCCACTTTGATTTTGATGCATTTTAAGACGATATTTTTATGAAAAATATTTTCTTTATTGACATTAAGAAATATCCTGCTTTCTTTTCATTCATGGAGTACTAGTGCTTAAATGCCATGGAGGATATCCAGAATGGCTCGCGGAAGAAGATAGTAAGTTACATAAAGAAACAATAAGATGTGAGAATTGCTACGTTACATAATCACAGGACAGAGTATGTATACATCTTGTATACATTGATGTTCTGTCTCAACTAACAACTGTCTAAGATAAATATTTTTAATAGAACATATGATGAATAAAAAAGAAATTGTGGTGGATAAAAATACAAAAAGTTTTCCAGTAGATAAAAAAATATTTCTTGAAGGTTTGAAAGAAAAAAAAAAGCTAGTAGAGAGCCACAAACTCACATTTATTTGTTTGTAAGTTTTTTGCTTTCTTTTCTTCTCCCTTTTCTTATTCATTAATTGTATCTAATTACATAAATAATTAATTCATAATTACCTGTATTTCCTGGGGTTTCAAATGAATTTTTTCAGCAAACTGAGACAATGTGTGTTGAGCTTCTAAAATAAAGTAATTTGCATTATCGGAATGATACACGCTGGATATAGCATCAAGGATGGTGCAACATAAAGCAGCAGAACTTGATTTTAAGAATACTGATTGAAGGACTTGAAAAGCTTGTATGTTTCGTACACTGGCTCCTGAAAATACATTGAATGTTACTTTGAAATGAATTCACTCTACTTAGTAGAGTAATAATGTAATAGAAACCAACAACTTTCCTAATTCAGAAAGAAAGAAAGTCCCTTGAAACATGACTAAGTTCAAGTGAATATACACTCACATCAAGAGGGGAAATAAGTACTCACCACGACCTGATGGCTGTGGTAAAATGAAACCCAACATTTGAAATAAAGAGCCCATGCTGGCTTGACTAGGGCGCAATTCTATGTGACCACACATGGAAAGAGATGCTACCATAAGCACAAGGTTTCTAATTGCCTCTTGAGATTCTGCACTTGAATCATGTTCTAATCTGAAGGAGAAAAAAATTGTAATGTTGGGGTCTGTCAAATAGACTAATTCAAATTATATACTAACTTAACATAATCTTTAAGCACATAGTCATTATTTCCCTAACGTTAATGTCTTTTGAAAAGTTGTCTAGCATATCCATAAAGCCTCTTACATTAAGAGTAATTTTTTTTTAAAGACATGTAAGTATAGGCATAATCCATAGCCATTCCATTCACAAGAAAAATTAACAAATGTAATATAAAATTCAAGAGATTGCTCTAATCAACTTACTTCAACAAGAATTCTGAGAGAAACACATAACCTTGACAACTTCGAAAATCATCCAAGAGAGTTTGCGACACATCACTTGAATCTTTCAAGAAACAAAACACAGTCACAAACATTTCGACTATTTCCAGAGGCGATAACTCTTGAACTCGTTGCATGTTATCAATACACAATGCCACACAACCCTTACCTAGGCACAAAATTAATTGTTGTTTGTTAGTTGCTACAAAGCTGACTGGTAATAAATATTTCCAATAAGAAAACAGTAAATAGTTCTTAAAACAGTAAATAGTTGTTTGTGTTTTGTTTTTGTTTTGTTTCGTTTTGTTTGTTTTTTTAGCAGGAAAAATTGAGCAAACAACACAAAACATTTTTATTAATACAATGATCAGTCAATTATTAACTAGTTTAAAACAAAAATTAGAACTATGAACAAAATTTAAAAAGCTTGTAATTTTTATAAATTACATGATATTCAAATACTGACAATTTTACCACTGATATTACAAATGATTCCAAAAATTAAAGGTCATTTAGTTTTCAAAATATATTTAATAACATACAATACATAAAACAGCTCTAAAGTAAGAACATATGAAAGGAAAACCAGAACCAAACAGCACTTTTTAAAACTAATATTCATTCCATGTTTATTGCTGAATGGATAAAAAATGCTTGATAAAGGAACAGAATTTTCTTCAGCCACAAAATGTTAACTGGTTATAAAAATGTTAATATATCAACTTACCTCAATTGATAAATACACCTAACTTGTAATACTTAAAGTAATTAAAAATTTTTCAACACTACCAATTTATTAAACAAATTTATGAAAATGATATTACATGATTATATCATATTTTAAATACATATACATTCATGGAGAAAACCATTTTATGCCAATTTCATTTATTACATATATATGAATACTTACTGTGAATGTAACTAACAACATTTTGAGTGAGACCATGTCGTGAAAGCGTCATAAGTACTTCAGCAGCACTTTTCCGCCACATTACATTATAGGATGGACACCAACTAGTGATTGCTGAGAAAAGTAATGTCAAATCATCTTTACGAGCAAGTTCTTCAGCAGGAGATGCATGACTGCATAGTCTAACCAAAACCTATATAATAGAAAATTTGTTAATAAATATTGCTTTTATTACTTCTAAAATATAGCTTAGGTGAAGTTGTGGTGAACACATCTGACTACTAATCCCAGGTTGCATGTTCAAACCCGGCCTAGGTTGATGGATACTTATAATACAAAAATTTAAAGAAGCACCTGCCTCCATCAAGTCAAGCCTTCACATTTAATTGAGCTACTAAGATGGCAGTGAATACAGAAACAAGGCCGAACACTATCTATCATTCAAATCAAAATTTAAAATTTATGTGTACATGCCAACACTCCCGAGAAGCATCATAAATCAATTTCCCACATATATGTCAGCCTTGCACACACTACACTTTAATATCTTTTAATATTTAATTTATTTCAATATAATAATAATAATAATAATAATAATAATAATAATAATAATAATAATAATAATAATAATAATTTTGATATTATCTCCATCATCACACTCATAGAAAAATAATAAAAAGGTATCACCTGCACAAATATTTTCTGAAGCAAAATCCTCCTTTCACGAGGAGTAAATTCACTACCATTCTCTACAGTGTCTGGATTCTCTATTTCGGGCAGATCAAAAAAGAGGTATAAACATTTGACTAATGTTGATGGTACTGACACTGATGTCATAACCTGTAAAGAAATATGACAATTAGAAGATCCACATAAACAGAGTACAGTTTTAATGGAATTTAATTGCATTTCGCATAAATCAAAATTTGAGGTAAAAAGTGTAAAAACAATTTCACAAATATTGCATTTCATCTATGAATATGATTACAAAAATATATTGATTTCTCAACTCAATAAATTGGAACAATTTACACAATATTTGTTTATTATATACAGCAGAATAATATTTTTTCATATGGTTAAAAAATTGCACATTAGTTTTTCCCTCTTCAAATTTCCTTATCCATATTCAAAATACAACAAATTCAGATCGATGTAGAATACTTTGGAGAACATAAATTTATTAATTTAATTATTTAACAAATCACATGATCTGGCAACTATTATTCCAAAATAAACTATCAAATGAAAAACCTTCAACACTGTCACAAAGAGTGATTAAAAAGTAAGTGAAAAATACAGAGAAAACACACTTGGAGAACAAATAAAAATCTTCCCAAAAGTATATTTTAAAGTTTAAAAACTATAGGCTCCAAACTAGCTTACTAAACTCCAACAAACATTTTTTTAAATATATTTTACAATTTACTTACTGATTTATTCTAAAAATATTTGTATTCCAATTATAATTTCAACAACAATTCTGTGATCTCGAGGTAAAGGTTCGTAAGTCAAAAATCTTAGGAGAAAACAAGTGTTAGATTATTGTGCTGCTATTGATGAGTGGTATGAATCTATATTTCCCAATGCTTTTTTGTCGTTATGGAGACAACATTTGAATTTGGTTGTTTCCTGATACCAAACAATGGCTACTTCATCTTCCTAAAAACTATTCTACTATTAACTAACTAAGCTTTCAACAAATCTTCTTGATTACTTCCTCTAAAACAAGTCATCAGAATCCATTTGTGGTTCCTAGATACCTAAAGACAGGCTTACAGGAAACCCTCTGTGAACAATGCTAGCAGCTAAACAATAAACAGAATTTTTAATAAAACTGATATTCACCTATCAATTTGGCTGATAACCACTTGAATTTCAAATTGATATTTTCATTATGTGTGAGGGGGAGGGGAGAGTACTTCATGTAAAGCCTGAAGAACTCAATATTCCAAATTTTTTCTTTACATTTTTTTCCTAATCAGGCCCAGTACACTTAAAACAATGGAACTGGTCTGAATTTGGTTAAACTCCTCAAATTTTCAAAAACTGCAAATGTTTAAACATTTATTGAGGTCTTCCTAGAACTGCAATATTCAAGGTAAAGGTTTTTTTAATGAAATTTGTTCTTCAATATTAGTTCTTTAAAGATGGTCTTTTGGATAAAGTTTTTGGATATATGTGGCTCCCCCCCCCCTCCCCGTGTAATTTTGCATGAAACATAGGCATTTTTAAAGACAAGATTTTATGAAAAATGGCTTCCAATTTTTTCTTGTATAGAGCAAAGTACTTCAAAAAGAGTGCAAGTTTAATTTTCGCTGAAATTTATACTTTTGAAAATTGTAAAAGTTTAAAATTTATTCGGCATCTTCCTACAACTGCAATGTTGAAGATACAGGATTTTTTTTCTTTAA